TTTCCAGGTTTTCCAGTTTTTCCCAGAGACTGCACTGATGAAAAACCTTGTGTTTTCCAGCTTTTCCAGCTTTTCCCAGAGACTACCCTGGTGAAAAAACATGGTGTTTTCCAGCTTCTCCACTTTTTCCAAGTTTTCCCCGAGACTACCCTGATGAAAAACACTATGTTTTCCAGCTTTTCCAGCTTTTCCCAGACATTACAGTGGTGAAAAACCTTGTGTTTTCCAGCTTTTCCAGCTTTTCCGGCTTTTCCCAGAGACTACCCTGGTGAAAAACATTGTGCTTTCCAGCTTTTCCAGCTTTTCCAGTTTTTCCCAGAGACTACCATGGTGAAAAACCGTGTGTTTTCCAGCTTTTCCAACTTTTCCAGTTTTTCCTAGAGATTACCCTAGTGAAAAACCTTGTGTTTTCCAGCTTTTCCAGTTTTTCCCTGAGATTACCATGGCGAAAAACCTTGTGTTTTCCAGCTTTTCCAGCTTTTCCCAGAGACTACCCTGGTGAAAAACCTTGAACAGGGTAGTCTCTGGGAAAAACTGGAAAAGCTGGAAAAGCTGGAAAACACAAGGTTTTTCATCAGTGTAGTCTCTGGGAAAACCTGGAAAACCTGGAAAAGCGGGAAAACACAATGTGTTTCACAAGGGTAGTCTTTGGGAAAAGCTGGAAAAGCTGGACAACACAATGTTTTTCATCAGGGTAGTCTCTGGGAAAAGCTGGAAAAGCTGGAAAACACAATGTTTTTCACCAGTGTAGTTTCTGGGAAAAGCTGGAAAAGCTGGAAAACACAAGGTTTTTCACCAGGGTAGTCTCTGGGAGAAGCTGGAAAAGCTGGAAAAGCTGGAAAGCACAATGTTTTTCACCAGGGTAGTATCCGGGAAAAGCTGTAAAAGCTGGAAAAGCTGGAAAAGAAAAGGTTTTTCACGAGGGTAATCTTTCGGAAAAGCTGGAAAAGCTCAAACACAATCACAGAGAGCGTGAAAGACAAACAGTCGAAGACAGCAGCAGACAATCACAGAGAGCGCGAGAGACAAACGCAAAGAGATAACAACAAAACGAGAGAGAGGGATAGAGCGACAGAGAAGGAGAGAGGGAGAGAGCGAACACGGAAGACGGAAATGTATGATCACAGGGGGGGGCGACCATATAGATGACGCTTGGGAGGCCCCGGCAGCACTCAACCAACACCAACACATCGGTTGAAACATCGAAGCAACAATATACAACAGATTTTCAAACATGCGGAAAGGTTCCCAAAACAATGCCCTACACCAGCAAGAACGCTGAAGAGGCCCCCAGAAGCACAAAGAAGCATCGAACGCCACACAAACGTCTGAGAGGCCCAATTTGTCTTAACAGTGTGCATGTTCACGACCCCTGATGGCGGTGCTAAAGAAAGAAAAATAAACACATATCCAGAGGTGATTCGGCCGAGGCAGCCTGTGTGGCTGAGGAAGCTTGACCGACTCGCAACATCGCCTTGCTTTTTGTTGGCACCGTCATCCGGGATCGTGAACATGCACTTCCTTTAACTCGTTGTGATCTCCCAGAATATTTTTAGTTTTCGATGCTATTTGTGTACTGCTCCAGCGTTCTTGGTGGTATCTGGATTTTCGTTGGGCGCCTTCTCCGCGTTGTTGATGTGTTTGAATTGGTCTTGGATGTTTCAAGCGATTTGGACGTGTTGGCCGAATTGCCTGCTGATTATCTATCGTTGTTCTTCAAAGTTTCAAGCGTTTATTGTTTGTGTTGGTCGAGTTTCTATTCGTGGGACCTCTGACGTATTGTGTTTTTGTTTCGCACTGCCTTGTAGGAATACAAGCGGTATTTGGATGATTGTTGAGTTTTGTGTGTGTGTGTCTCTCAGGTATTGTTGGTGGTTTTGATTGTGTGCTCTGAGTGTTTCGAACGTGTTTTCGATGTGCTGGAAGGCTAAACGAAACAAGCGGAGAACCCGTGCAACAGGAAACAAACACACACATACAGGCGACCTCGGTCGAATGTCCCTTGGAATCTTGGACATGCCGTTGTTTACGAACGGATCCGGGGTGGCAAACTGCACCAGACGGGCCCCGGTACAAGTCCAGTGGCAGGTTTTGAGCGGCTCCTCGTCGTTCGCCGAGCGCGTTCCACTACTCGCAAAGTGCCTACTCGCAAACGCTCGAAAAACACATGTCTGCTTCGATGTAATGTATTGTAGATCCCCTGTGGCGGATCCAGGCCATTTGCGAGCAGCTACTTTGCGAGCAGTGGAACGCGCTCGTCTACATTAGGCCCCCCTGTCGTGCCACGTCCCCCCACGGCCCCTGCAGCTCGGAGCCCTTGGCCGCCCCGTACGCCCCCCTCGCCGCCCCCCTCCTCGGGCGGGAGGGCTGCTGCCGCGGCTGGCTCCCCGCCGCCGCCTCCGCCAGGATCCTGCGACGAGGACTGCGGGCTCGCCGCCTGGACCGACTGGCCCCCCCGCACCCTCTGGGCGGGCGCGCCGGCTGCGAGGAGGAGGGCGACGAGGGGAGGCGCGTGGGTCACCGAGCGCGTTCCACTACTCGCAAAGTGCCTGCTCGCAAGCGTCCGAGAAACGCACGTTCGCCCCGATTGTAGTGTGTCGTAGATCCTCCGCAGCTGATCCAGGCTATCTGCGAGCAGTGACTTTGCGAGAAATGGAGCGCGCTTGCCTAGTGGGGCAGCGGGCTGGGGACCCCCGACACGTCGGTGAGGCGGGGGAGACAAGACACGTCGCCGCGCCGTCTGCTCCGACGCGCGGCCTCCCGTCTCGGGGAGGGCGCCGCGGGCACCCGGGGAGAGGCCGCCCCTTGGCGCGGTGGACTTGCCGTGGGGTCTGCCGCGGTGGCTGCCAGCGTCGACCACTCGGGCGCGGGGCGCGGGGCCTGCCGTGGGTTTGCTGTGGGTTTGCCGTGGTGTCGGCGTCGTCTGCTTGGGCGCGTCGAGGTCAAACGGTGCAGCGGCACATCCAGCGGGCTTGCGGACAAAGTCGCATGAGGCATGGCGGCAGGGCTATCATGACAGCGTGCATGGTTCCTGGCTCCAGCAGAGGAACACACGGCGCCATACATATCATTTTTTGTCTGAGGTCCGCACGGTTTTCTGGGATCGACGCTGGGACCCCCATCACTGACGCGCAGAGCGCTGTGCCAGAGGCGCCGTCGGGGGGGGGGGGCAGAGCCGACCAAGGAAAATCGCGCGCAGCTCCGAAAGTTTCTGTTTCCGCATATCGAAGGGTTGGGGAGGGGCAGGAAGGAGGAGGAGCAGCAGCAGCAGCAGCAGGAGGAGCAGGAAGGAAGAGGAGGAGGAAGAGGAGGAGGAGGAGCAGCAGCAGCAGATGGAGGAGGAGGGCGAGCGTCGCCCTCTAGCTTGCGCAAGAAAAGGAGGAGGAAGGGATGATGATGATGATGATGATGATGATGATGATGATGATGATGATGATGATGATGATGATGATGAGGATGATATGATGATGATAAGGATAAGATAAGGATAAGGATGATGATGATGATGATGATGGATGATGATGATGATGATGATGATGATGATGATGATGATGATGATGATGATGCTGATGATGATGATGATGGATGATGATGATGTTGATGTTGATGTTGATGTTGATGATGATGATGATTGATGATGATGATGATGATGGATGGATGAGGAGGGAGGAGGAGGAGGAGGAGGGAGGAGGAGGAGGAGGAGGAGGAGGGGGAGGAGGGGGAGAGGAGGAGGAGGAGGAGCAGCAGGAGGAGGAGGAGGAGGAGGAGGAGGAGGAGGAGGAGGAGGAGGAGTACCACCCACCTCTCCCGATGCTCGTGCCTAAGCTGGATGTGCGGAGCGCTGGCTCGCCGGCGGCACTCTCGGCGTCGATCCCGGCGGCCATATCCCGCACTCCCTGCAGGTTCCGGCGGCGCCACTGGGTGTCACCATCAGGGAGGGCACCGCCCATTCTTTCGGCGGCCAGCGATGGGGGAGAGGTGAGAAGGGGGAGGCCTTCTCGGAAAGCGGCGGGGCTTCCCAGAGGCCCTGGCGCATTCCGAGAGGTTGTTGTGTCTTCGGGGGAGGCTTAGAATTTTTCTCAGAGGGCCAGGGGGCCGTCTGCTTCTGAGAAGGCCTTCTCCTTCTCGTTCCCCCCCCGGGCTCGCCGCCAATTCCTGGAAACAAAAATCGGTCGGCCACGCGCATATGGGGGGTAGGGGGAAATGGGGAAGGCTTCAAAGAAGCACCTGGCTTCTCAGAAGGCGCGGGCCTCGTCTAAAGATTAAAGGGGGCGCGCGCCTCCTTCTAAAAGCCTTCCCCCCTCCTCCGACCTCCTTATGCGCGCCGCCAATTTTCCTGGAAATAGAGTCGGGGAGGTGTGAGATTGGCGGCCGCGGAGGTTGTCCTAGGGGGGCGGTCTGTGGCGTCCAGGGGGATACGCTTCCTGGCGGAGGAGGTTACAATCCCCCCAGTGGTGACCCCGCCCCTTTGGCATGGCGCGGAAGTTCAGACAGCGCTGCGGGGTGTCACCACTGGAGGGGTCGCCAGCTTCACCTGAGGATCGAGGTGAGGAGGAGGAGGAGGAGGAGGTGGAGGAGGAGGAGGAAGAGGAAAAGGAAGAGCAGGAGGAGGAGTTTTGGGCGTCTATAGGCGGCTTGGAACCTGTGGGGGCGGGGTCGCGGATCTTGAGGGGGCCGCCTCCGCGAGGTGCGGGCGGCACCCCCCGGTAGCGGCGCCCCGTGGCGTGGCCCGGCAGGTGCCCTCTCTCAGCTCGGGGCTCGAGCTGTTCCGGCAAGAGCCGGGCCCGACCATTTCGCGGGCGCCTACATACATGTCGACTTTATAAATCGCCGCGGCGGGGGGGCTGGACGAGGGTTCCTTCCCCAAGTGGGGGTGGGGGGGGGCAGGCTTGTGACGCGGATGGCCAAGGATGGGCCCGCGACGGGGCGTCGGCCGCGAAGCGAGTCTTCGTCCGGCTCCCCCGCAGATCCTCTCTTCTTCTCTACCACGAGTGCGCGCCATGGATACCGAGCTCATCCTGGCCTACGTGGTACTCGCCCTGTCGCTGGTGGCCCTGTACTTTGGCTGGATGGTCGCTTCCGTCACCCTGTCCTCCTCCTTTGCTTGTGCTTCCTCATCCATGTAAGGACCGCAGTTCGGCCACCTCAGGTTTTTCACAGCTCGAAATCTCTAG